GAGATTCGAACCTGCAGTAATTGCAGGCAGCTGGTCTTAATAACAGGGTGCTTTAGACCACTGTACTACCAAGGCTCTTTGCATTTCTTGTCAATAACTGCAACTGATGTTGTATCAGAAGTACATATTTCTAAAAGGACGTTTGGTCTATGAGTGTGGGCATTCTTTTTTTAAAAAAAAATATTTATTTAACAGATTAACAGAGTTGGAAGGGACCTTATAGGTCATCTAGTCCAACCCCCTGCCTAAGCAGGAGACCCTACACCATTTCTGACAGATAGCAGTCCAGTCTCTTCTTGAAAGCTTCCAGTGATGAAGCTCCCACAACTTCCGAAGGCAACTTCTGTTCCATGGGTTGATTGCTCTCACTGTCAGAAAATTTCTCCTTATTTCCAGGTTGAATCTCTCCTTGTTCAGTTTCCATCCATTGTTCCTTGTCTGGCTTCAGGTGCCTTAGAAAATATTGACCCCTTCCTCTCTAAGGCAGCCCCTCAAATATTGGAAGACTGCTATCCTGTCTCCCCTGGTCCTTCTCTTCACTAGACCAACCATGTCCAGTTCCTGCAACCGTTCATTGTATGTTTGAGCCTCCAGTCCCCTAATCCTCTTGGTTGCTCTTCTCTGCACTTTTTCTAGAGTCCCAACATCTTTTTTTATAGTGTGGTGACCAAAACTGGATGCAGGATTCTAGGTGTGGTCTTACTAAGGCTTTATAGGGTGGTATTAGTACCTCTCTTGATCTTGATTGTATCCCTCTGTTAATGCAATTTAGGATTGCGTTGGCTTTTTTGGCTGCCGCTGCACACTCTTGACTCATATTTAATTGGTTGTCCACTAAGACTCCAAGATCCTTCTCATAGTTACTGCTATTAAGCCTGGTTTCACCCAGTTTATATTTGTGCTTTTGGTTTTTCTTGCCTAAGTGTAATTATTTTTTTATTTTATTAATAACATAAGATACAAAAATGCCAAAGAAAACAATAGTAAGGATAGGAGAGGGAAAGGGGAAGGGAAAAATGTAAGGAAGAAGGAGAAAAAGAAAAAGCATTGACTTCCCACACCCTTTGGTGCAGTAGAATAAATTATAATAACCTCCACTTTTTACTTTGATGTAATAATATCAGCTAGCCATTTCTAGAACAACCAACCTACACTTTGATTTCCACAAAGGACGAACGGCTGCAGGAGTTGATGGGAGTTAGCAGAGATGGCTAAACTGATTGATTGCTTTGATTAAAGACAAAGACCTCAATTACGTTTGTTCCTATTCGGAAACCGCTCCTGGACTTTGTGCTCGAGGTAGGGGAAAAAAATGAAACTTTGATTTTGGGTTTGAGACGGGGCAATTCTTGTATCACTTAGGACACTCTCTCTGATGCCGGGGGCAAGGACACCCCTCCCCAATCACCCAGGTTTCTCTGCTTATAGTTTAGGATCCATTTATTCATCCTTTGCAGTGACAGGCCCAAAGGATCAGGAAATAGAGATAGTCCTTGACTTACAACAGTTTGTTTAATGACCGTTCAGTCTTACGACAGCACTGAAAAAAGGAACTTATGACCATTTTTCACACCGATGACCATTGCAGCGTCCCCGTGATCAAAATTCAGACGCTTGGCAACTGACTCACACAACGGGTTGCAGTGTCCTGGAGTCATGGGATATCCTTTCGCGGCCGCCTGACAAGCAAAGTCAAAGGGGAAAGCCCGATTCGCTTAACAACTTAACTTACTTAAGTTGTTAAGGACTGCAGTGGTCCTTGTAACTGTGGCAAGGAAGGCCGTAAAATGAGGCAAAACTCACTTTTCAAAATGTCTCGCTCAGCAACATAAATGTTGGGCTCAGTTGTGGCCATAAATCGAGGACTGCCTGTATTTTAGACTTCAGAAGCAGAGGAAAATGGATAGAGAGATGGTAGGTGCCTTAAATCCTTGATGGGGATTAAGAGGAATAAATTAGCAACTCGGCTGCAATTTTAATATTTTGAGGTCTCTTATAGTGGGTGGAAATTGGGGGTGTCCCTTTGAGTGTGGAGTGGATCATTTATAGCAGTGATGGCTAACCTTTTTGTTGTCGCGTGCCAAAAGCGGGGGGAGCACGGGGGGGTCGGGGTCATGTGCGTGTGTGTCCATACCCATAATTCAATGCGCCCCGTGCATGTGCACGCTCCCCCCGCTTTTGGCACACGATGGCACAGTGGACCCGGTAGGCCCGTTTTTCACCCTCCCCAGACTCCAGAGGCTTTCTTGGAGCCTGGGGAGGGCGAAAACAGGCTTCCCCACCCCTCTGGAGGCCAGAAAAGGCCCATTTGCCAACTTCCAGTGGGCCTGGAAGACCCGAAAATCAAATGCGCGCGCTGGAGCTGAGCTAGGGCAGCGCTCGTGTGTCCACTGATATGGCTCCGCGTGCCACAGGTTCGCCATCATGGATTTATAGACCCTATACTGGTAGTCTTCAACTTATGACCACAACTGAGCCCAAAATTTATCTTCTTAAGTGAGACATTTGTTAAGTGAGTTTCGCCCGAACTTACAACCTTCCTTGCCGGAGTTGTTAAGTGAATCACTGCGGTTGATAAAATAGTAATCCGGTTGTTAAGTGAATCTGGCTTCCCCCTTGACTTTGCTTGGCAAAAGGTCGCAAAAGGGGATCACATGACCCCCGGGAACACAGCAATGGTCATAAGTGTCCGAATTTTTTTTTCTTCAATTTATTTATATATTTTCTCTTTACATACAATAAGTGCTTGGTGAACAGCATACTGTCTGGGTTAATTTGTTTACATCATAATGCTTTTTCAGTTCCTAGTTTCTCCCTCTATTATCCAACCCTTGACAAAACAAGTCCCAAGTTCGAAAATATTCTGTATCTTCTTTTTCTTTTATCCTCAGTGTTAGTCTATCCATTTCCGCACAGTCTAATATTTTTTAAATTATATTTTCTTCTGTAGCTATGCCTGACTAGGTGTATATATTTTATTGAATAGTCCGAAAGCCTTTTCAAAAAAATTTTAAAAAAAAGGGGGAAAGATAAAACAGCCTGACTAGGTGGCTCAGTGGCTAAGACACTGAGCTTGTCAATCAGAAAAGTCGGCAGTTTGGCGGTTCAAATCCCTAGTATAGGTCTCCTGTGTGAGCATGGGGTTAGACTAGATGACCTCCAAGGTCCCTTCCAACTGTTACTGTTACTTTAGGTGTCTCCTCATTTTTCCGGTATTGTACAAATTCAATTCTTGCTGCTGTCAAAAACATGTAATATCTCTCTCTCTCTCTCTCCCTCCCTCTCTCTCTCTCTCTCTCTCTCTCTCTCTCTCTCTCTCTGTGTGTGTATGTATGTATTTTTCTCTCAGCCGGGTTTTTTCCCTATATAGCCATAGCTCAGTGAAATCCCATTCACTAGTTTCTAGGCTTTTTCAGACATCAAACTAGCATTTTACTGTCTATTGGGAGACTAAGGGAGACTAAGATAGATCTATTTTGGACTAATTAGTCCTCATCAGTTAGCCACACCCTCATCTCATGTCTCCTCCCCGTAAAGGTCAAATATTTATACTGTGGGGGTAAAACATCCCTATTACCCCCTTGGGGTGAATATAGCGGCTGCGCTGCCCAGCTGATTGGTCCTGGCTGCCTTCCGCAGCGGCCACACGCCACCCGCTGGGCCATTCCAATGGCGAGGAGGACCGTTGCCGCCAGATGTGTGTTGGCCCAGGCAGTTACCACGGCGGCCAGCCATGTGCAGCCCCAATGCTGCCGGCCGCCAGATGGTGGTTACTGGTGGGCATAGGCACCCGGATGGATAGGGGTTGGGGCCCAAAGACTTATAGTGATTTTGTGTATGATTTTACTTTATAATGTGCATATTGTACGTATACTTTTAAAAGCCTGTAAGGATTGGGATACATAAATATCCGGGCAATAACGCCAGGTTACCAGCCAGTATTAAATATACATTCCCTTTATCATATTTTTCTGGTACTATGCCTAATAAAAATAGTTCTGGTTTATAATCTATATGCTGCCTTAACATTTTTTCTAACCACGTATGCACTTTCATACAAAATTTCTTTTCTTTTTTTTGCTTTTCGACACGTCCACCACATGTGATAATATGTGCTCAATATTTGATTAAATTTCTAACATTTGGCGCCAAGTGTCAGGAATTTTGATCATGTGACCCTGGGGCTGATACAAAGCTCACATAAAAATGGTCCTAAGTCACTTTTTTTCAGGGCCGTTGTAACTTTGAAGGGTCACTAAATGAACTGTTGTAAGTCGAGGACTACCCATAGAGATCTCGGGAATGTGGGCCGAGGCAGCTGGACCGTGCAAATGTCTTGTTTTGAAAAAGAGGAAATAGCAAACTTCTTTAAAAACGCAAAGCGAGCGGAAGAGTCGAAAGCGAGCGACGCAATCCCAGACCACAAAAACAGAATAAGATAATCATAGTTTTAATGATAGTTTCAGGCTAAATTCTCTGTGCTGAAAATAAGAAAACAATTTTTTTTCTTTTTTTTTGAAAAAGGAAGGAGGGCGGGGAAAAGAAGCAAACGAAGGCAGGTAATAAATAAGTTAATAAATAAATAAATAGGGGGAGCGCTCGCTCTCGTTCTCTCTCCTAGCGCCCACAGGTTGGAAAAAATCTTCGGAAATTCACACGCCATGGAAAAGGAGCGGCTTTTTTAGTGTCTTCTGGATCCTGTAAGCAAAGAAAGGAAAAACAAATTTGGTTAAGGGAGGAAAAAGCCAAGCTTGAGAATGATTTTATTTATTTATTATTTATTTATTATTTAAATTTTTATACCGCCCTTCTCCCGAAGGACTCAGGGTGGTGTACAGCCAACAATAAAACACACATATCCATAAAATTTAAAAACAGTTTAAAATCATATTAAACAATTTGGCCCCAATATTATTAAAAACGAAGTAAAACAGCCATTAAAAATCATGTTTAAGCCAGCCCAGCTTGTTGAAACAATAATGTCTTGAGGGCACGGCGAAAGGTACGTAGGTCAGGGATCATACGTATCTCCAGGGGCAATTCATTCCAGAGGGCAGGTGCCCCCACAGAGAAGGGTCTCCCCCTGGGGGTCGCCAGTCGACATAGTTTGACCGACGGCACCCTGAGGAGTCCCTCTCTGGGAGCGTATTGGCCGGTGGGAGGCTATCGGTGGCAGAAGGCGATCTCGTAAGTAAGTGTGAATCTCGTAAGATTTGTGCTGAACGACACCATGTCAAGGGGGTATTGGGGGGTCCCAGGAAGAGGGAGTGTTTGCTTTAGGCGAGGCCAGGAGTCGGCAACCTTAAACACTCAAAGAGCCACAAAGCTCCTAACTGGAAGCCCCCGTTCAATTCTGGAGCCGACCGGAAGTCCAGTTCCCCTACCATAGAGTCTCCTCCTAGCGCAGCATCCTTTTTCCTCTACCTGTCCTAACCGAAAGCTCTATCAATTGTGGAGCCGACCAGCAACAGGGAGCCGCAGCAGAGGGATGAAAGAGCCACATGCGGCTCCAGAGCTCCAGAGCTGCAGGTTGCTGACTCCCATTAGCTAGGCTAATGGCACCACATTACAGAAAAGATGTTATGACCTTTAGAAAAAGGGCAGAGAAGTGCAACTAAGAGGATTAAGGACCTGGAGACTAAAAGATTCGAAGAACGGCTGCAGGATTTGGATTTGGCTGGTGTAGAAAAAAGAAGAATTAGGGGTGACATGATAGCAGAATTCCAGTATTGGAGGGGCTGCCACAAAGAGGAGAGGGGTCAAATTATTTTCCAAAGCACCCGAAGGCCAGACAAGAAACAATGGATGGAAAATAATCAAGGAGAGAAGCAACTTGAATTTTAGGAAAAACTTCCTAACGTTGAGGACAATTAACCGGCGGAACAGCTTGCCACCAGAAGTTGCGGGTGCTTCATCCCTGGAGTTTTTAAAGAAAAGACTGGACTGCTGCTTGTCTGGTTACAGAATTATAGATGTCAACGGGTGCCAATTTTTTTGGAGACATCTATAACAATTATTGGAAAAATACATTTACTCGCATACTTATCGGCTCTCCACTCATGTAAATTAGGGAATGACCCTAACGGTTTGAGGTTATGTAGTTTCATAACAGGGATGTTATTATTCATGATTAATGTCAGTATTATTTTTAATTTATTGTATGTCTATTGGTGGTCGAGGACCGAAATAAAGTTGTATTCATTCGTTCATTCTCGGATGAGAAGCGAAATGTTTTCAAGGAAAAAAAAAAAGAAAAACCAAGAAAGTCTTTTGAAAAAGCACCTTTGGGACATAATCAGAACAGAGTCCAAAGGCTGACTCAGCCTTCCATCCTTCCAAGGTAGGTAAAATGAGGACCCGGATTGTGGGGGCAATAAGCTGACTTTGTATAAAAGAAAGAACACCGCTTAGGGGGGGCCGAAAGCCCTACTAAGCAGGTATATACAAAAGTATGAAGGCTATTGCTTAACACATTGTAAGCCACCCTGAGTCTCCGGAGAAGGGCGGCATATAAATCGAACCAATAAATAGATAGATAGATAGATAGATAGATAGATAGATAGATAGATAGATAGACAGACAGACAGACAGACAGACAGACAGACAGACAGACAGACAGACAGACAGACTTTGGAGGTCTTCTAATCCAACTCCCTGCTCAAACAGGAGGTCCTGTATCATTCCAGACAACTGACTGCCCAGTCTTTTCTTAAAAACCTCCAGTGATGGAACTTCTGGTGGCGAGCAGTTCCACTGGCTAATTGTCCTCACTGTTAGGAAGTTTCTCCTTAATTCCAGGTGGCTTTCTCTTCTTGATTAGTTTCCATCTGTTGTTTCTTGTCTTCTCAGAATAATTTGACCCCCTCTTCTTTGTGGCAGCCCCTCAAATGCAGGAATCATCTATCAAGTCAGCCCCTAATTCTTCTTTTCTCTAGACTAAACATACCCAATTCCTGCATCCTTTCTTTATATGTTTTGGTCTCCAGGCCTTTAATCATCTTAGTTGCACTTCTTTGCACCTTTTTTCCCCCAAAGTCTCAACATCTTTTTTATAATATGGAGACTAAAACTGGATGCACTATTCCAAGTGTGGCCTTGCCAAGGCATTATAAAGCAGTACCAATACTTCATGTGATCTTGATTTTATCCCTCTGTTAATGCAACCTAGGACTGAATTAGCTTTTTTGGTTGCTGCCACAGATTGCTGGCTCATATTTAAGTGATTGTCCACTAGGACTCCAAGGTCCCTCTCACAGCTACTATTTTTGAGCCAGGTTTCACCTAATCTCTTCGCTCCTTCCGTCGGGACTTGAAGACTTGGCTTTTCAAACGAATAGGCTGAGACTGATTCCGGGCTTTATTATTTACTACTAATTAATTATTTGGTTTAAATTATGATTTTATTGTACTTGTTTCTTAACTTGTGTTCGCCGCCCTGAGTCCTTTGGGAGAATGGCGGCATATAAATACATTTAATAAATAATAATACTAATAAATAAATAATCTGTACTTTGTATCTTTGGTTTTTCCTGCCTAAGTGTAAAAACCTTCTGCTTAGTTCTTTTTACATTTCTAAATTAAAGACAGCCTTCCTTGTAGAAATAATGAGGGGTGAAAGAGGATTTTTTTAAAAAGTTGCTTTTAAGATAGGAGGTCCTTGTGAAAGAGCCTTGGTAGAACAGTGGTCTAAAGCACCCTGTTATTAAGACCAGCTGCCTGCAATTACTGCAGGTTCGAATCTCGCCAAGGCTCAAGGTTGACTCAGCCTTCCATCCTTTCTAAGATAGGTAAATTGAGGACCCAGTTGTGGGGGCAATAAGCTGACTTTGTATAAATATACAAAAGGATGAAGGCTATTGCTTAACGCAGTGTAAGCTGCCCTGAGTCTCCGGAGAAGGGCGGCATATAAATCAAATTAAAAAAAAAAAAAGCAGCTGAAAGTTTGGCAAAGAAAAGAAAAGCTTTGAATCGGATCAGGAATTATTTGGGACTTTGATAAGCTCTTTCCGTGACTGTTTTTTCCTTTGAGATAACCCTGGTTTTGGAGTGTCCCTTTCTCTTTAAGGGGCTTATATTTGCATTTGCGGTGGCTCAGTGGCTAAGATGCTGAGCTTGTCAATGGAAAGTTCAACGGTTTGAATCCCTAGTGCCGCGTTACGGAGTGAGCTCCCGTGACTTGTCCCAGCTTCTGCCAACCTAGCAGTTCGAAAGCACGTAAAAAATGCAAGTATAAAAAAATAGGGACCACCTTTGGTGGGAAGGGAACAGCGTTCCGTGCACCTTTGGCGTTGAGTCATGCCAGCCACATGACCACAGAGACGTCTTCGGACAGCGCTGGCTCTTCGGCTTTGAAACGGAGATGAGCACCGCCCCCTAGAGTCAGGAGCAACTAGCACATATGTGCGAGGGGAACCTTTAACTTATTTGCATTTGGGCATGAATTGCAGCTTCTTCCCTAAGTAACGGTGAGATCCTCAACGTAAAACAGAAGCGGCTTTTCTACTTTATCTCCAAAGCTGGAGCCGAAATATTGTGGTTGTAGATAATATTACCTTGGCTCATTTTGGAGGGCAACGGTGAGCTTTTTATTATAATTCACGGGAGGAAACCATCTTTTCTTTTCCCAGAAATGTGGGGGATTCTTTTGGATAGGCTTTAAATCAGGGATCAGAGAATAGGATCCACTCACCTTTGCAACCCATCCCACTGACGGATCCGATCCGGTCCAACCGTCGGCCGAAGCAGCCCGATTCTCTCATGCTTTTGGCAGCTTGGATCCCCCTCATGTGCTTCAGCAGAGCCGTTCGGTCAGAGAAGATGGGGAAATCGTCGGCCAGGGGCTCATCGTTCAGGTCCTCTTCGGCCTGGCGGTCTCCCCGAGCTTCAACGTCGTCAGGGTTGCCTTGCAAGTCCTCCATCAAAGCCACTTTCTCCTCCAACCTCTCCAGGAGAGCCTGAGGTGGGAATCGAGAAGGTCAATTACACCATATGGGCAGTCACGTCTATTGCACCCCCCAAAAAAGCCCTCACCCATTGCTTCGTAGATAACTGATGGAGCCTTAAATTGAATTCTGACTAAATAGATCCTGAAGAGGAAACTCAAATCCTTTGGCCACCTAATGAGAAGGAAGGACTCCCTGGAGAAGAGAGCCAAATGCTGGGAACGATGGAGGACAAAAGAAGAAAGGGACGGCAGAGAACGAGATGGCTGGATGGAGTCACTGAAGCAGTCGGTGTGAGCTTCAATGGACTCCAGAGGATGGTAGAGGACAGGAAGGCCTGGAAGAACGTTGTCCATGGGGTCGCGATGGGTCGGACACAACTTCGCAACTAACAACAACAAAAATGTGATTTCAGTTTAAGCAAGAGATGGCTGCTCGAGCCACATTGTAAAGCCTTAGTTAAGGCCAGGGGTGAAATCCAACAGGTTATGGAGAACCGGTAGTGGAAATTTTGAGTAGTTCGGAGAACCGTCAAATACCACCTCTGGCTGGTCCCAGAGTGGGATGGGAGTGGGGATTTTGCAGTATCCTTCCCCTACCATGCCCGCCACACCACGCCCACCAAGCCGCGCCCACAGAACTGGTAGTAAAAAAATTTGAATTTCACCACTGGTTAAGGCCACAACCGGAATACCACATCCCGTTTTGGTCACCACATTACAAAAAAAGGCGTTGAGTCTTTGAGAAACATGCAAAGAAGAGCAACTAAGATGATTAAGGGCCTGGAGACTAAAATACACGAAGAAGGGTTGCAGGAACTGGGTATGGCTAGTCTAGTGAAAAGAAGGACTAGGGGGGACATGATAGCAGTATGCCGGTTATTTAAGAGATACCACAATTTATTTATTCTCCAAAGCCCCAGAAGGCAGAACAAGAAACAATGGATGGAAACTAATCAAGGAGAGAAGCAACCTGGAATTAAGGAGAAACTTCCTAACAGTGAGGACAATTAGCCAGTGGAACGGCTTGCCACCAGAAGTTGTGGGTGCTCCATCAATGGAGATTTTTAAGAAGAGACTGGACCGCCACTTGTCTGAAATGGTATAGCGTCTCCTGCTTGAGCAAGCGGGTTGGACTAGAAGACCTCCAAGGTCCCTCCCAGCTCGATTCTGATTCTGTTAAGTCAAATCTGCCCAGAAGAGCCAGGAATTTGCATTTTGAAGCAAACTAGAGGAAAAAATAGACCTGAAACCGGTACGTCTTGGGGCATATTTGACTGGCCCCGAATGTTGATCTCCCCTGTTTATAAGAATATAAAGAAAAATCCCCTCTTTTTCTCTGTTTGGGATCCTTAACCATCGATGCTCCCACTCTGCCTGAAAATAATTTGAAGGAAGGGGAGAACGTGTGTTTTTCAGGAGTTTCTCCCAATTTTTTTTTTTTTACAAAACCTCCTTTACATTGGTGCTAGTCCTGCTTCCTGGAGCCATTGAGAAGCCATTGAGAAGAACAGAATCTGAAGGGACCTTGGAGGTCTTCTAGTCCAACCCCAACAGGAGACCCTATTCCATTTCTGATAGATGCTTGTCTGATCTCTTTCTCTCCGGCTAAAACACGCCAGCTTTTTCTGCCGAAGGCAAACACCGCCTTCCCACATCAACTCCCTGCTTCCAATGGAAGTCAGCCAATCTGCGACCTGGGTATGAAATCGACGGCTGTTCCTTTAGGGTAGACTGCTCCTGAACCTGGGTTCCCTACGACTGCTCCTGAAAGAATCCTCTTCTAAGAGGCTTGCGGGCTATTGTGAGGGGGAATAACAGAAAAGAGCTGGAAGGGCCTTGGTGGCGCAGCAGACTATAAAGTGCTGTTAAAGTAGCACTTAGCTGCCGGCTGCCTGCAATTACTGCGAGTTCAAATCTCACCAGGCTCAAGGTTGACTCAGCCTTCCATCCTTCCGAGGTAGGTAAAATAAGGACCCGGTTTGCAGGGGGCAATAAGCTGACTTTGTATAAATATACAAAAGTATGAAGGCTATTGCTTAATGCATTGTAAGCCGCCCTGAATCTCCGGAGAAGGGCAGCATATAAATCGAACAAACAAACAAACAAACAAACAAACAAATAAATAAATAAATAAATAAATAAATAGGGACCTCGGAGGTCTTCTAGCCCAACCCCCAGCTCCTCAAGCCGGAGACACCTACGCCATATCAGACAAATTTATTGCCGCCAGTGCCTGTTGGATAATTCCCCGAATCCAGATCAAGATCCCAAGAAGCCCCTTCTCTTACCTCCATGTTTGCTAGCTCCTCGGCCGAGCTGAGGCTATGGATGGGGTGAGCCGCCGGATGCTGGAACCCGAGAAAAAACACCAAGGAGACCACGGTGAGGAATGAACCCTGAGCATCCATCCTTGGAGATCAAGAGTCGGCTGTTTTCAGAGGGGGCTTCTTAACCTTCTCTCTCTCGGTCTCTCTCTGTCTCTCTCTCCCACCGCAAGTTCTTATATACCCTTCGGAAGCGAGCTTTGCTTTCCTGGGTTATCTGGAGCGCATTCCAGCGCCGCGGCTGGCATGCTGCGTTTTCCAAAAGAGAAGATTCTCTTTATTAGGTGTCACGGGGCAAAGCGGCCTCTTTTCGGAGGCATGCGAGTCACAAGTCAATGATTTCATGTCGCCGGGATCTCCAGCGTTGATACCACGAGTGGAGATTACACACCCATTCCTGGCTGGGCATTCTTCGCATTTCTCTTTCCCTCCAAACACCCCCCCCCACCTTTCAGGTTGATGGCCTTTGCGGGAAAGAGGGTCTTTCATTTTTCCCAACGAGGCTTAAAAGCCTCCCGGAGAAAACTTCCTTGTATAGAAAAGGCACAAAAGAAGGCAGGCATTTTGGTGTCCCAACATCGTTTATCGCTACCATATATGGCCTACGGAGAGTATTTTCTGCCTCTCTCCCCACTCCCAAATAAATATGGGGGCTTTTTTTCTTTGCAAGTTTTGATAGAATGGAATGGAATAGAATGGAACAGAACAGGATAGAATGCAGAGCAGAACAGAACAGAACAAAAGAGCAGAACAGAACAGAACAGAACAGAATAGATTGGAATGGAATGGAATGGAATGGAATGGAATGGAATGGAATAGAATAGAATGCAGAATGGAATGGAACAGAACAGGATAGAATGCAGATCAGAATAAAACAGAACAAAAGAACAGAACAGAACAGAATAGAATAGAATAGAATAATAGGGAATAGAAATAATAATTAGGAATAGAATAGAAATAGAAATAGGAATAGAATAATAGAATGGAATGGAATGGAATGGAATGGAATGGAATGGAATGGAATTTTATTGGCCAAGTGTGATTGGACACACAAGGAATTTGTCTTTGGTGCATACTCTCTTGGTGTACATAAAAAGACAAGATAACATTCGTCAAGAATCATAAGGTACAACACTTAATGATAGTCACAGGGTACAAATAAGCAATCAAATCATACTAGGAAACAGTCAGTATAAATCGTAAGAATACCAGCAACAAGGTTACAATCATACAGTCATAAGTGGGAAAAGATGGGTGATGGGAACGAAGAGAAGATTAATAGTAGTGCAGTGATTAACTATTAGTGAATAGTTTGACAGTGTTGAGGGAATTATTTGTTTAGCAGAGTGATGGCGTTCGGGAAAAAACTGTTCTTGCTTTTGAAAAGCTGTCAGGCTTTTAAGGCAATTGGTTACTCTGAAAGGAGTTGTGGACGCAAAAGCATGCAGTATGCCGAAATCCGAATAGACTTACGGTGTGAATCTATTGAACCCTTAAAAACTACATGGCGAAGTTAGCTTAATTGTACACGCGCAGTTGCAGCCTAGGAATCCAGCTGCTTCCGAAATGCTTGAGGGGAAAACAGCTCCTCTTTGCAGGTAGAGTGCTTCTGACGATGGAGGATCTTAATCTTAAAACTAATCACGGAGAGAAGCAACCTAGAACTAAGGAGAAATTTCGAGACAGTTAGAACAAATTAACCAGTGGGACAACTTGCCTCCAGAAATTGTGAATTCTCCCAACACTGGAGGTTTTTAAGAAGAGATTGGACAACCATTTTGTCCTAAATGATATAAGGTTTCCTGCCTGAGCAGGGGGTTGGACTAGAAGACCTCCAAAGTCCCTTCCAACTTCTATTCTATTCTATTCTATTCTATTCTATTCTATTCTATTCCATTCCATTCCATTCCATTCCATTCCATTCCATTAAAATTACATTACATTATATTCTCTCTCCTATTCTAATCTAATCTAATCTATCTTGATGTCATGTGTGTGTTTGTGAGCTGTGTATAAAATGCCTGAAACAAGGTATTGTAGAGGGGGGGCGAGGAGAGGATTTTTTTTCTTCTTCCAGATTTTAAATTTGTACATGCTCAACCATTGCATCAGGGGTGAAATGCTACCGGTTCCCTCCGGTTCGAGGCTCCGCCCACCCGCCTGGACATCGTTACTTCCTGGTTTTACCCTGTTTTTGACACTCTGTGAATGCACAGAAGGCTTTGCGGATGCGCAGAGGGTCCAAAAATCAGATGTGACGATGGCGCGCGCACTTCCGAACCGGTAGGGAAGGTAAGTAGATTTCATCCCTGCATTGCATGGTATCTTACTTTCTGTGGTGAAATCAAGTGTAAGAATCTGGACCCTGTGGCTCTTTTGCCTCAACTGAACTGCTGGGGGATCTCCAAGAAATTCAAAATAAGGAAATAATCCCAGTTTAGTGAATGAATCCAGCCAGTACAGAAACCCTTGCCATGTGATGGGTGTTGATGGCTGCCCCCAGGGCTTCGTTTCTTAGGATCGATAACCACCAGCAAAATTGGGAAACGTGTCTGGGAAAATAATTCATTTAGCCCTTAACGGAAGATGAAAATAGTGCAGTTATTTATTCTCTGCTATCAAAAGCCGCGGCGTGAGGAAACGGCCTTCTGTGTGTAAAACCAGTCAACCGCTAAATATCGGCACAAAATACAACACAACACGATACAATTCTTTATTGGCCAAGTGTGATTGGACACACGAGGAATTTGTCTTTGGTGCATACGCTCTCGGTGTACATAAAAAGACAAGATAACAATTCGTCAAGAATCATAAGGTACCACACTTAATGATGGTCATAGGGTACAAATAAGCAATCAACTCATATTAAGAAATAGATAGATAGATAGATAGATAGATAGATAGATAGATAGATAGATAGATAGAATTCTTTATTGGCCAAGTGTGATTGGGACGCACAAGGAATTTGTCTTTGGTGCATACGCTCTCGGTGTACATAAAAAGACAAGATAACAATTCGTCAAGAATCATAAGGTACCACACTTAATGATGGTCATAGGGTACAAATAAGCAATCAACTCATATTAAGAAATAGATAGATAGATAGATAGATAGATAGATAGATAGATAGATAGATAGATAGATAGATAGAATTCTTTATTGGCCAAGTGTGATTGGACGCACAAGGAATTTGTCTTTGGTGCATACGCTCTCAGTGTACATAAAAGAAAAGATACATTCGTCAAGAATCATAAGGTACAACACTTAATGATAGTCATAGGGAACAAATAAGCAATCGAATCGTACTAGGAAACAATCAATATAAATCACAAGTTACAGCCATACAGTCATAAGTGGGAGGAGATGGGTGATGGGAACGATGAGAAGATTAATAGTAATAGTAATGCGAAGCAAGAAGGTGGAAACCTTGAGGTGGCTCATTTATTTGTACCAACGGACTTCCTGGGTTGAGGTCAGTTTTGACCTTGGGGTGGGTGAGAAAGGCCTCCCTTGGAGGTCAAGGGAGGGAAAAAAAAATCCGGTCGGAGCTGGTCAGAGAGGGAAACCTGAAGGAATCTGTGTATCTAAGTTGCTGGGTGCTCTCCAAGGTGCTGAACCCACTGATCTAGCTCACGGAGCCTAGCAAGCATCGCCCGAACCTGTAGAAGTGCGCGACAAGGTGTGAGAAATTTGAGTCGGTCCTTCCACGTGCTCCCTAGAATTGGGCACCCCTAGTTGGAACTCGCCAACGGCCATCCGCACACTTCCCTTTTGACTTTTAAAGTTTTTTATTATTTTTTTATTTATTTATTTTTTCCAAAAAGAGTTTTTTATTTTTATTTCCCATAAACACATTTATATGTACAGTCATTTCCATCATTTTTCATTCATCTTTTAACTTTAATTTTTACTTTTTCGGGGTGCTCTTTTACCCTATACCTTTACTCCAACCTTTCTTCTTCTCCTCCCCTTCTCTCCCTTCTTTCTCCTCCTACTTCCTTCGTTCTTCCTCTCCTTCTCTTTCCTACTTCACCTTCTCTTCCCCCACTCCTTTCTTCTTCCCCCTTCTAACCTTCTCCTCTGCTCCTCTTTCCCCTCCCTTTTCTTCCCCTCCTTTTCCCTTTCTTCTTTCTCCTCTCCTCTCTTCTTCCTTCCTCTCACTACTCCTTCCCCTCTTTCCTGTTGTTTCCCTTTTCAGTTCAATCTAAAGTGGTATTCGAGCAGCCTTTTTTTGGGGGGGGTGAAGTTTTGTTTTTTTTTTTAATTTGATTTATATGCCGCCCTTCTCCGGAGACTCAGGGCGGCTTACACTGCGTTAAGCAATAGCCTTCATACTTTTGTATATTTATACAAAGTCAGCTTATTGCCCCCACAAACTGGGTCCTCATTTACCTACCTTAGAAAGGATGGAAGGCTGAGTCAACCTTGAGCCTGGTGAGATTCGAACCTGCAGTAATTGCAGGCAGCTGTGTTAATAACAGGGTGCTTTAAACCACTGTACTACCAAGGTTCAAGTTTTTTAATTTTTTTTACAAACATATCGAATCAATGCATGAATGGTGTGGCATCTGAGTGTCCTACGTTCTAATACAAATAAAACTTGATAAACTTAATCATAGTTATTACATCCGATCAACTTATATATTTCTAATAATGATACACAATGATGATAAGTTGCAATCTGTCATTATTCAATTCTTCCATGTTTTCTCTTATTTTTACTTTATTTTGTGATATAAAACTGTCTACACTAACATTCCCCTTTCTCTTATTTCTATCATCTATTCTAACTTTTAACCATATCACCTTTTATCCTACCCGGCTTCTATTCGTGTCACCTACCTGAAACAAAGAAAAGGAGAGAAAGGAGAGAGAGAAAAGGAAAAGCAAATCAGAATGACAACGACGACGACAAAGAAATCATTTATCCATCGTCTCTTGCCCGCTTCAATACTTCGGTTGCTATGCTTTTTTTTTTAATTTGCCTTCCATCTTCCTCTCTAGAATCTTTCTCTATTCTCTCTTATCTGTAACTGCTTCTTGCAACTGTTCAATCTGGGTATTTCTCCCACCTCTAAACTTCCCTTTTTGTAGGGCAGTTGCTTTCCAGAACTCTTTCCACCCCCCTCCCTTCCTTTAGACAAAGAGCCAAGTCTTCCATTTTTACAAAACCTTTATTGATGTCCATGACAATCAGATTTGGTCCCCATGATAAGGGGTAAAATGGGTCTCCAGGACAGGGACAACAACCGTGCTTGAATATTGAAAGACTGAAGGTTGAAGAATTAATATTGGACGTTAAAGAGTTCTCTACAATATTTAGACAGTGTGGAAAATGGAATGGATCTTTTCGCAGGGAACGTAAAAGAGATGATGAAATAGTTCATATCAAGGACCATGTCATCTATTTACTCCTGGAGGAAGAAGATGAATTTCAACTTCTTCGCCTCCTCCAGGGACCTGAAACAGAAAATTAAAAAAGGAATGAGTTGAAGGGGCTCCATCTTTCCTGAAGACAGCAAGGATTCACAGTTTCAGATCCACAAATCCCATTTCTGCTCCTCAGAAGCCATCCCAGAATACAGGAAAAAGAACAGCTATGGGACGCAAAATCCTTTCAGACAGAAGAGCCCTTTGGTGTGTGAGCTGCTTAACATGGAAGGGAACAAAGCCAAGCGAGACGGTAACCCTCCCGCCGCGAAGAGCAGAATCAGAATTCAAACAGGTAGAGCCGAGGCCTTGAAGGACATCTAGTCTACCCTTGCAAGAACCTCGTGCAGCATTTGTCTCAACCGTGCTAAGTTTCTCCTACAACACTTTGTTCCTTTCCCACACCTTAAGTAAAGTGGAAACTGACTTTTGAAAGCCGAATTCTTATTTGTCGCTTTCTGGATTCTAGAAGTGTTCTAGATTCTGTCACCCTCTTCTGCTTTGGGGCGATCTCACATAGCACACATTATGCCCCAGACGTTTTAATTCTCGCTTTTTTCGAACTCGGGGTGGTTCCCCTTGACGGTTATTTCTTCCTTTCGATTCGTTTTACAAAATTGTGTTACGAATAACACAAAGCAGTTGAGTTTTTTTAAAGACTCTTTTCATCCCTGGGTGAAAGTTGATCCAGATGTCAACTTAAAGTCCCTCCCCACTCACTGCCCCAACATAGGGAGAGAAAGCAGTTTTAGGATTTTGGGGAAAAAAATCTTAATTTAGGGGGGGGAAAGTCACAGGAAGCAGAAGGGGGGGGTCCACCCCGCTCGTGGTACCGTGTTTCCCCGAAAATAAGACCTCCCCAGATCATAACCCCAATCGGGCTTTTGAGCCTGAAAATAAGGTCAAGCGCTTATTTGGGGGGGGGGGGTGTCAAAAGAAAATAAGACCCTGCCTTATTTTCTTTTGATCCCCTGAAATAAGCGCTTGGCCTTATTCAGAGCGCTTCTTTTGCGTGACTTTTTCAAAGGTTTTCCAAATCCAGACTGGTCTGGGTGTGATACTTGGAACAGCCCTACGTGGTGAAACTCTTAAAAAAGGGGGACCTACGGGGTTTGTAGGGCTTGCAGCCGAGTCCCGTCTGGGTCCCGATCCGATCGAGCCTGATTCCGAAGCACCCGGAGAAGTACCTCCTCGACGCCACCAGGAAATTTCTCCATTGAACCTGAGTGAGGGAATCTTGAAGTTTGGGCAGGTGAGAAGGGATCATCTCGCCCTCGTCTTCGAGGTCAGGAGGATAATCGCCATCGTCATTTGCACCGCCGGCTTCTTCGTAGTCCGGACGTTCCAGATCCTCCTCTTGCCGGATCTTTTCGCGCAGCCGATCAAGGAGGTGCTAAAAATGGTAGAGGGTGAAAATGGGGACATTCTTAAAATTCTCTCTCTCGCCCTCTTTCTCTCTGTCTCCCACTCCCCTTCCTCTCCCTCTCTCCCCCCTCCCCCTCCCCCCCTTCCTCTCTCTCCCTCCCTCTCTCCCCCCCCTCCCTCTCTCTCCCTTCCACCCTCTCTTCCCCTTCTCCCTCTCTCTCCTCCCTCTCTCTCTCCATCCCTCCCTCTCTTCTCCCTCCCTCCCTCTCTCTCTCACTCTCCTTCTCCCTCCCTCCCTCTCTTTTTCCCCCCCTCCCTCTCTCTCCCTTCCACCCTCTCTTCCCCCTCTCCCTTTCCCTCTCTCCCTCTCCCTCTCCTCCCTCTCTCTTTCCATCCCTCCCTCTCTTCTCCCTCCCCCCCCCCCCTCTCCCTCTCCCTCCCCCCCCCCCCTCCCTCCCTCCCTCTCTCTCTCTCCCCCTCTCCCTCTGGACTTATCCCCGCACCACCAAACCCCTGTAGGAAGCCAGGTTTTGTTGCTTGAGCCGTTTCTGACTTACAACTGACTTCTACAACGAGATTCTAGTCCTCATGGTTCCCAGGTTTGTCAAACCGAAAGTGGCAGAAGGCCGCCTTACCCTCAGAGCATCTACATTTGTGATTGGCATCTGCCCTGCCTGCCTCAAGATTGGGAGATCTCATTTGATGCACTTGGATTTTTCAGCCAGCTGGAGATCTTGGCTCAGCAAGTTCCTCCTCCCTCCTCCTTACCTGTAGAACTTGCAAATCTTGGCCGGAGGGACTCCACGTCACTGGATGAGCCCGGCCCGGCCCAGCCAGGAGAAACCCCACGAGCAAAACGAAGGGATAAGTCAGACTTAGGCAGCCCATCTTGTCTGGTGCTGTGTTCTCAAGGCCTCGGCGATGTTTGTGGCACGGTAAGCAAGGCGCTTCGTTTTATAAGGCCCTCGCAAGGAACTTTCTCTCTGCTTTAAGCCGGCTGGGCTCCGGTGACAAAGGCCACGAATCTTGATAAGGAGACTGGTTCTAACTAGCTCAGCTAGCGGTGGAGAGTTTAGGCTAAGCTACCTTTGCTTTTCACCCCCCCACCCCTCCTCATCCAGGAAAGCAATTAGGGTTATGTTGTTGAGCTGCCCAGCGCACGGCTGCCATTAAACCTTGCAGCCCAAGGCCAGGGGATGTATCTCAGCTTCCCGTGTCTTGGCAAGCGTCAAAGAAACACACGCATACACATACAAGGATGACACGCAAAATTCGTGAAGCGTTCCATTTTTTTTTTTTTGTTATTTTTTTTTGTACATGGTAGACCTGCCCAAAGGCAAAAAAAATTTTTTTTTTAATTGGACTGAAAATACATAACACCGTTAGAGAAAACGATAAAGCAACATCATCGATTTAAAAGCCAGAAATATTTTTGTTTATATTTAATACTACATTCTTTTGACGGCAGTGAGAATTGTTTTTGCACAACGTTGGGAAAAAAATGAGGAAACTCCCAGATGAAAATGGGATCAAAAAAAATATTAGATTGTGCAGAAATGGATAGGTGAACATTACAGATAAAGGAGAAGGAAAACACAACAGAATATGTTTTAACTTGGGATTTGTTTTACCAATGGTTAGATAATAAAGGTAGAAATTAGAAGTTGGAAGAATACTATTATATACAAGTAAGGAATATTATTATTACTACGATTATGTATATGTAAAATGACCCAGACAATACACTGTTTATTAAATACCTGTATATGTTAAATATATTTGAGCACCAAAGAATTGAGGCCTTTGAATGATGGTGCCAGAGAAGACTCCTGCGAGTCCCTTGGACTGCAAGGCAATCGAACCGCTCAGTCCTAGAGTCCATATCTCTATCTATCTATCTATCTATCTATCTATCTATCTATCTATCTATCTAATCTATCTTATATCTCTTATCTCTATCTATCTCATATCTATCTATATCTCTTATATATATGTCTATCTCGTATATCTCTATCACTTCTATCGCTATCTATTTTATATCTCTTTATCTCTTATATCTATCTCTATTATATCTCTGTCTATATCTATCTTATCTCTATCTCTATCTATCTTATATCTCTATCCATTTATATCTCTTATATATCTATCTATCATATTTATCTTATATCTATATCTATATCTATCTTATATCTATATCTCTATCTAATAGCTCTTCTATATGTATCTTATATATCTATCTATATATCTATCTTATATCTATATATCTTATATCTCTATACCTATTTATGTATCTATCTATCTATTTATCCAATAGCTTTTCTATATCTATTTATCTATCTATCTATCTTATATCTCTTATCTCTATCTATCTCCTATCTATCTATATCTATCTCTTATATATATGTCTGTCTCTTCTATCTCTATCTCTTCTATCGCTATCTAATATCTCTTTATCTCTTATATCTATCTCTATCTATTATATCTCTGTAGCTATATTTATCTTATCTCTCTATCTTATATCTAATATCAATCTAATATCAATCTATATATCAATCTTATATCTCTATCCATTTATATCTCTTATATATCTATCATATCTATCTTATATCTATATCTCTATCTATCTTATCTATCTATCTCTATCTCTATCTAATAGCTCTTCTATATGTATCTTATATATCTATCTATATCTATCTTATATCTATACATCTATATCTTATATCTCTATACCTATCTTATCTATCTCTATCTAATAGCTTTTATCTATCTATCTATCTATCTATCTATCTATCTATCTATCTATCTATCTATCTTAGCCAGCCAGAGAAAGAGAGGGAGAGAGAGAGAGGACAGCAGAAGTCAAATGAAAACAAATAGATAAAGGCGGAAGATGGATCTTGGCCGAGACAGCGTTTGTGCAGGTGCCTTGGGAGGCTCTCTGTCGATGCTCAGAGGCCTTTCTTCAGGCTTCAGGCTTCCTTCTGCCTGCCCTGCCCTCTGAAATTTTAATGTTCTGCATGAACCTGGTGGAATGATTGAGGCCTGCAGCAATTCTCGTGAATTCAAAATGTGAGGGAGGGGAAGGGCTTGGAGGTTTCTATGAATCCAGCTGTTCTTTCTCAGTTCCTGTTGCCCTTCTGTCCTCCCCCCTCCCCTCCCCTCCCCACTTCCTCCTACCTGTTTTCATGGAGGCTCCATTCTCTGTCATCTCCAGCCCCGGTTGAGCTTCAAAGGGCACGTTCATTATTTATATGCTAATGGAATAAACAAGCGAGCCGGGGGCAGGCCAATTATTTTAATTAGGAGCGCTGCCTTTTATGTGCAGGGAAAAATACTTCTCCGCGGCTGAACCGGCCTTTTTTGTTTTTAATTGAGAGTTTTCTGCAAAGGTTTTCATTTTCCCGGGGTGAATTTAGGACAGGTGTGGCTCTGTTAGTAGGATACTTTGTGAAGGTCCGGAAGAAGGGAGAGAGTGGGAAAATAAAATTTGGAGAGGTAGAAACACGAGTGGAAGTGCTTGAATTTTATTTTATTTTATTTTATATTTATTTATTTTTATTTTATTTATTTATTTATTTTACTTTATTTCCAATTTATATACCGCCCTTCTCCCTGAGGACTCAGGGCGGTGTACAGCCAGAATTAAGAATTAAGAACATGAAATACAAATATTAAAAAACATTAAAATATATATAAATTTGGCCCCAAAATTAAAAATCACAAACCAATTTAAAACTTTTAAAAATTTCTTCTTAAGCCAGCCCGGCTTGCTGGAAAAAGTGGGTTTTAAGGGCACGGCGGAAGGCACTGAGGTCTTGGATTCTCCTTATCTCTGGGGGCGCAATATTTTATTGTGTTTTTTTTCCATTTTCCATAATTCCAATACGTAAACAATCAGATAGTGTTACTTTTCCCACAGGTTAGATTAATTTTCCCTATATATTCTATAACTCCAAATATATGGAGCCCTTTGGAATGAACTGCCCCCAGAAATGCGTAAGATCTCCGACCTCCGTGTATTTCGCTGTGCCCTCAAAACCTCGTTGTTCCGCCAGGCTGGGCTATCAATATAAAGATTTTAATTGGTTTTAAATGTGGGATTTTAAATTTGGGGGTTTTATAATTGAGCCAATTATTTAATAATTTTAATTATTTTTAAATTTTGTCTGTCTTTGTGCTTTTAATCAGGCTGTACACCGCCCTGAGTCCTTCAGGAGAAAGGCGACATAGAAATATTATTATTATTATTATTATTATTATTATTATTATTATTATTATTATTATTATTTAAACTTTGTAGTAATTTTCATCCATTTGTAATTCAGTTATCAATCCACCCACACCAATTATATTGGAGTAAAATACAAAATTGGCTACAAGAATTAATTAATAATAAAATCGAATTGATTCCAGAAACCTTTCTCCTGGGAAGTACTAAAGGCCAAATATGATTAAAAAAAAACCCAGGATATTTAATCATTCACATACAGCAGCGAGAATAACATATGCACAATATTGGAAAGGAAATCATATACCACCTGAGGAATCTATTATTCAGAAAATATTTGATTGTGCTGAACTGAATAAATTAACATTAGAACTAAATGAAAAAGAGGATTCAGAATTCTATACAGTGTGGGATAATTTATTTATTTATTTATTTATTTATTGCGATTTATATGCCGCCTTTCTCCCTAGGGACTCAAGGCGGCTTACAAAATGACAACTTCAATACAAATCACAATACAATACCAAATTAAAATCAGTAACCCAATTAAAAAACGATTTAAAATTATACCAGTGTACCAGTATAATTGGTACAGGAAGTGCTTGAATTTTAAACCAGAAGTTGCAATGGCCAAAGAAGATCCATTTGAGGAAGGGGCTGCTAAGCCGAAGTGGGAAACAATGATCTGATTGTTTCCCACTGAGAAAGTCATAACCAGTGGACAAAATTAAACTTAATAAAATAATCAAATCCCCCCCCACTCTAAAAAACCCCCCACACACTCTGTTTTTAAAGAATCTTAAGATTAAATGGAGCCACCTACAAAAGTGAGGACTTGAGAAGCAGAGCCAGGGTTCCTTTGAGCCAGCCTTTCCAAGCTGCTAGTCCTCAGCGTCCATCTGTCAACAGATATTTTAACTGCGTAAATATGCGGATATGTTTTGTGCATGGTATGCGCACACTTGCCTCCCAGCCTCCTTGCGGGGACTTCAGGATCGTTGTGTTCAGGGAAGGCGAGACTGCATTGCCTAATTACGCCTCCATGTTTATTTACTATTTATTTATTTCCTCTTTCCCAATGTATTGTGTCATACATTGTCATCTTTAGGTTTCTGTTAGCAAAGTGGCCACCAACTGCGCGCGCACTCACATTTGCGAACCGGTAGGGAAGGTAAGTGAATCCCACCTCTGGGTAGTACCAGAGGTGGGTTTCAGCAGGTTTGTTGTGGAATGATGAGACCAACGCAACATTCCTAGGTTAGTCAGAGACTGTATTGCGCAAGGTTCAGAGCCAATTTTTACATGAAGCTTTGAACAAAGAGAGAACTTAGTTACAACGGTTTTATACACTTCTAAGACAAAGGATTCTGTTAACTCAGCAGTTTATATGGTCATATACATTTGTTATATTTAATTGACATTTCCTAATTACTAAAGTTTCATATTATTCTTGCCAAACAATCATAATTCTTCTGTAAATTACTGGAGCATAGATTCAAATTATCTTCTGTTGATAAATGACTTATAGCTCATGTGGATCCCCTTGACCTAACCAACCTTTAAGCTGTATGTCATTAGAATGTTTCTTTCTTCTGACAATTTAGAGGCCTCCTAAAAGTATCAAAAGGATTTTGGCTGAGTTTGTAATTTTTCCAACCGGATGCATTTTCTGCCTTTAGAATAGAGTGAATAGAAAGTTATCCAGTGGTCATCTATCAGAGCCCGCTTCATTTACATTAGGTTCTAACCAGTTTTGGAGAGCCGGTAGCGGAAATTTTGAGTAGGTTGGAGAACCGGTAGTAAAGATTCTGACTGGGCCAACCCCCATCTATTCTCTGCCTCCTGAGTCCCAGCTGATCGGGAGGAAATGGGGATTTTGCAGTAACCTTCCCCTGGATTGGGGTGGGAATGGAGATTTTGCAGTAACCTTCCCCTGGATTGGGGTGGGAATGGAGATTTTGCAGTATCCTTCCCCTGGATTGGGGTGGGAATGGAGATTTTACAGTATCCTTCCCCTGCCATGCCCACCAAGCCACACCCACCAAGCCATACCAAGCCACACCCACAGAACTGGTACTAAAAAATTTTGAAACCCACTACTGGGTAGTACCAATAGTAATAGGCACCTTGGGTGCGGTCCAGAGGTGGGTTTCAGCAGGTTCTGACCAGTTCTGGAGAACCGGTAGCGGAAATTTTGAGTAGTTTGGAGAACCGGCAAATACCACCTCTGGTTGGCCCCGCCCCCATCTATTCTCTGCCTCCCAAGTCCCAGCTGATCGGGAGGAAATGGAGATTTTGCAGTGACCTTTCCCTGGAGTGGGGAGGAAATGGGGATTTTGCAGTATCCTTCCCCTGGAGTGGGGTGGGAATGGAGATTTTGCAGTAACCTCCCCTAGAGTGGGGTGGGAATGGAGATTTCGCAGTAACCTTCCCCTGGAGTGGGGTGGGAGTGGAGATTTTTGCAGTATCTTTCCCTTGCCACGCCCACCAAGCCATGCCACACCCACAGAACCGGTAATAAAAAAATTTAAAACCCTCCACTGGTGCAAGTCCCAAAACAACTGGGAGCACCATCATTGGCATTGACAAGTTTGCCATCAGTCACTTGCAGAAAGCGGCTTTACTTGGAACTGCTGCCATCCTGCGACGATCTCTGTAACACCGTCAAACATCCAGATTTGCCTATCCGATAAGGTAAGGACTCGATAAGGTAGACAAAAAATGCCAAACCCAGTCTGAACATCTGGCTGACTGCAAATAAGAATAGAATAGAATAGAATAGAATAGAATAGAATAGAATAGAATAGTTCCCTTCTCCTCCTCCTTCTCCTTCTCCTCCTCCTTCCCTTCTCCTCTTCCTTCTTCTTCCCTTCTCCTCCTCTTCCTTCCCTTGTCCTTCTCCTTCTCCCCTCCTCTTCCTCCTCCTCCTTCCTCCTTCCTTTCTGCTCCTCCTTCCCTTTTCCACCCCATACTCCTCCTCCCCCTTCTCTTTCTCCTCCACTCCACAAATGCCCTCCCTTCTAGCACTGATGATGTTACCCAGTGGGGTAATGAAATGTCTGCAAGCAAATAACTAAGCTCATGGAAGGCCATCATGTCACCTTTAGTCTTTCTTTTCTCTAGACCAGACAGATCCAATTGCAGCAACCGTTCTTCCTAGGTTTTAGTCTCCAGGCCTTGAAATATCTTAGTCGCTCTTCTCTCCCCTTACTCCAAAGCCTGAACCTCTCTTTTTAATGTGGTGACCATTTCTGGTTGCCGTATTCCAGGATAGGAAGACTTCGTAATGGGGTAGCAGAGGGAAGGGTGAAAGGGGAGAGCAGTGATTCAGCGGCCCAGCTTTTTGTGTAATCACTTGGGAGGGAATTACCGCTGTTCGTCTGCATGAGCCCCCTCTTAGTGACGCAGGAGAAGTGGCTGTTGGGCTGGGCATTGATGCTGCCCTTCTTCTGTTTCTATTATGTC